GAAAAAAAGTAACCCTTTATAATAATTCTAGGTAATAGTCTGCAGAGGATAACATTAGACTTATAAGATTTCTTCCATAAGAAGATATGGCAAGTAGTTATCAAATTCATTAGAGAATGACCAACATTAAAATCTGACACAAAGTTCCCAAAATAAATCATATTCTTGTTCACTTTGAAATGTTGATTTTGTTTTCTTCTTCAAGTGAATTAATTGATTCATTAAAGTAATTTGTTGCTCTGCAAAACAATCTTAAGTTTTGTGCAAGACAACCCTTTACGAAACATTCTGTAACCAATATCTTGACACCAAAAAGGAGCAGTGGAAAATGGCCCCATGGTGACTGGGCACTAAGAGCAATCCAATATTTGAGTAACCAGCAGAATTGAAAATATGGAACAATCAGGGCAGATTGGGTATCTGGGCAAGAGGTAACTTGAGACTCTGTTTAAACAATAATTGTGATGCATTTGAAAGGATGTTTTTAACCCGGGCGCGCCATCTGGTATATCATGCATACCATCATATGCACGTATATGAAATGTTGCTCGTAAATTGCAGAAATCTGAACTGATTTTCAATTACTCCCATCAGAAAAATCTCTTTGGGTGTGTTATGTAGTTCCTGGTTTGGATTTCAGCCACAGTGGATTCATAATTTGATAAACTGTTACATGCATGTTTGAAAATGGATATTATGTTACATTCATCTTTCAAAATGTAGAGGTGTATTGATGGTATGAGGTTTGAGTTGCAGAATCTTTTTCATGTTAGGTTTCTATCCCATTCCTTTGAATATCAATATTGTATTAATGCACCTTTGCCTTGTAAATGTACATAGTAATCTTATTTCTATTTCTCTCCCCTCTCCCTCAGTATTCTTCTCTCTTTTCCACTCTCCATAAGCCTCTCTCTCTCTCTCTCTCTCTCTCTCTCTTTCTCTCTCTCTCTCTCTCTGTCTCACTCTCTCTGTCTCTCTCTTTCTCTCTCTCTCTCTGTCTCACACTCTCTCTTTCTCTCTCTCTCTCTCTCTTTTTCCATCTCTCCATCTCTCCATCCCTCTCTCTCCTCTTTCCTCGTTGTCTCTCCTCTCTCTCCCCCTCTCTCTCTCCTCTCTCTCTTGCCCTCTCTCTCTCCTCCTCTCTCTCTCCCCCTCTCTCTCTCCCCCTCTCTCCCTTGACTGTCCTTCCTTGTTTCTCTCTGTCTCTCTCTCTCCATGATCAACATCTGTTTTATATCCCCTTTCCCTCTGCTTTTATAGAAGAAATATATGATTACAATGACATATATTAAAGGAATAACTGTCATGAATATACCCATTATGGTCTGTTTGAAAAGTAATTACAACTCTTTTTCCTAAAGAGATAGATCTCTGTGTAAAAGCTTCCATTATTTTTATTTTGAAATGAATAAACAAACGAACGAATATGTGCAGGTTAGCAATTTGTACATGATTAACTTGACGTACCATTGGAATTATACCTCTCTACCTTGGCTTAAAAAGTTTCAGGAATGAAAGCGATCCCCCAAGAATTTAGAACGTGCTAGTGTGTGTAAGGGATGTCTGACAGGTGCTTCGTATTGACCGCAGGGATAATATTTCCACATCCAAAATTGATCATGTCCTGATGATTATGAAAATGAAAAGTCTGCTTCTACTATCCCCTGTAGGGAGAAATTGCATATTTTGTGTCAAGTCTAATAGTTTCCATACTTAAGTTTTAGTAGGTTACCTCCTGCTACAGGTGGTTTTAGAGAAACAATTAACTTGCCACGTTGGAACCATTAGGGTTTTAACTCATCATGTTACACAGAGTTAATTGCCTTCTGTTTCCAAACAGACAAACTGCTATTTTTTTTAGTGTTTACTTCAGATTTGTTGAGAGGCATGTTTCAAAGATGACAGATCGTAGGATCACAAGTGCTTGTTAGAACTTGTCGCTATTTGTAAAAAGTTGTGCATATTTTGCGAGTGGTCTAGTTTTGGGCAAATTGCATGATGCAAAGATAACTCTGATAGTATGCATACTGCATAGACAGCTGTTAACAAGTTGTTGAATATTAAGATCATAAAGTTCCTTCTTTTACAGTAGGCCGAGGTACTTTAGGTGTGATACATTCCTATCATGCTCTTAGAAGATAAAAAAATGCAGTGAATATGGAGATTGTGAAGGAATGCAAACTTTAATAGTAATAGTGGATTATTAAATTATAAATAAGTATAATTCCTAGTCTGTCACTACCATAATTGATACATGTATAAAGTTGCAGTTATTTCATGTAATGAATAAATAGGATTATATTCCCCAGATCAGTGAAAACTCCTGTAATCTGTCAAAATTAATTATTCGGATTTCATGATCGTGAACCAGAACATAGATTCACCCCCCCCCCCTCCCCTTACTGTCACACCCCCAAGAGTAGTAAAATTGTGTTTCTAACATGGTATGAGGTAGGAGTGTGCCCCAGTGCTATGTCTGGTAGCAGCTGCTGGCTTGGCTAGCACTATTGTTCCCCTGCCCTGAATGGGCATTAAGGATTGATGTCAATGAGCTTAATATTAAAAGCCCCCCAGTTCTCAGCTGCTTGACCATCAAACACTATCAGGGGAGGAGGGGGAAGGGGGAGAAGGAGGTGGAAGGGGGTGGAAGGGGGAGTAGAAGGAGGGGAAAGGGGGAAGGGAGGGGGAGGATAAGGGGAGGGGGAGGATAAGGGGAGGGAAGGCTGAGGGGAGTGGGGGGAGAAGGGGAGGGAAGGCTGAGGGGAGTGGGGGGAGAAGGGGGAGAAGGTGGGAGAGGGGGAGGAAGGGGGAGAGGAAGAGGAGGAGAAGGAGGAGGAGGAGGAGGGGTAGAGGCGTGACCTACCGGTAAGGCCATTAAACAAAATACACATGTTTAGCGTCCCCGCACGCTTCCTTTTGGGGGGCCGCCTCCTATTTTTTGTATATTTGGAAGTAGCAGTGAAAAAAATACACGCGGGCTCAGGGCAAATTAGCCCCCGAAATGCCCAAAAGAGCCCCCAAAATTTGCATAGAGTTCAGTGCAAAACAAATTAAAGAGTGTTATTTTCATGCAAGCAAGCTTGAAAAGTAGCCCCCCAAATTTTTAAGTATTTTTTCCCTGGAAAGTAGGAATAATTTTTAGTTAGACCCTGCGTTGTTATCTTTGCTCTTAACATTTTTAAACTGTGGACATTTTTTTATGATTTTAATGGTAGATCTGTAGAATAGTCCTAATAACAATGTACTTCAACTCTGTTTCTTGAGAGTAAAACCTTGCAATGATTTAAAAGCTTCTTTTATTTATACTTTTTGTAACAACTTTAATCAACATAAAATATAATACCTTGATTTGAATAGTTTCTTTATGTCAAACAGTGACCCTGAGCTGTTATCTTTGCTCTTAACATTTTTAAACTGTGGACATTTTTTTAATGATTTTAATGGTAGATCTGTAGAATAGTCCTAATGACAATGTACTTCAACTCTGTTTCTTGGAAGTAAAACCTTGCAATGATTTAAAAGCTTCTTTTATTCTTTATGTAACAACTGTAATCAACATACTGTAGAATGTTATTTGTTTATTTGAATAGTTCCTTCATGTCAAACGTGTCTCAGACACACATGGAAGTCTTTTGCAGGGGCAGTCACTTGAAATGTCCTCATGCTAAACGCTTCCCTGGATCTCGTGTCGCATCTTGAAAAGATTCTTTTAGTATATTCAATCATATCCTTCATATTATTACTTGACGACTCTGCACATGTCGATGAAGAAGGCATTTGATGCCTGAACAAGTGCAAGAGAAAAACATTCCAGCAGTGAGAGTCATTGAAATATCTCGTTATGAGAGAGTATTATCCTAGACACTTTAACATCTCAGGGGAAAACCCTTTTCTCGAGTGTTATGAAGCAAATATCATTTGCTGTCTACTTGCTGTTATCCGTTTCTTCAAGGGCTCTCCTGACCATGTGGCCCTCTGGCTGGTCAAATAATCGAGAATCCAGTACAATTTGGAGTAGGAGCGGACCTGGGACCCGTTTCATAAACGTTTTTTTCTATAACAAATGCTTAATTTCTATGATAAATTTGCTCTCAGCCAATCAGATGCCTTGATTTCAGTAGCATATAACACTAGCTTGTAACTTGTTATTGATATCAAGTTTTATGAAACAGGCCCCTGGCATTAGGAGTCCTCTGATACCAAGTAGTTTAATGAGATTTACCATTTGTTATTGAATTAGGTCATTGAAAATATATATTTTACCAATCTTTTCTATGGATAGCTTTCTGCATTGGACTAAAATGCTTCAGGTTTAGTATGCTTTTTAGAAAACTAGCTACCGTAATTAACGTTGTATAAACCGCCCTTGTGTATTAACCGCACCCCTCTTTTTCGGCCTTTAACAAAAAAGTTTTTTTTTTTTTTTGGTCAACTTTTTTTTGCCGACTATGTCGGCATCAAGCCTGGTCCGTGTTAAAAAAACCCACGCAGGAAGGCCTTTCATTTAACTGCGAGGTGCAGCTGAATGTGCAAGATCATTAATGTAAATTAAAAAACAGAGGACCTAGGATAGAACCTTGTGGTACACCATGTAATAGAAGAAAAATTGGAGGAATTATTATTATAAACTATCGGTACATATTGAGATCACAGACAAATTTTAGAGTTGTTCTAGATTCTGAGTGGTGAGTCAACACAACGATTACTGAGCTGGGAGACATTGCCAGGCATAGCGCCAGGTGGAGGGGCATAAATCGAAACTTTAAAAAAAAAAAATGGTGTACTGTGTATAAACCGCACCCCGACTTTGAATTTTTTTCGGCGGCAAAAAGATGCGGTTTATACACCGTTAATTGCGGTATATAGTTTATTTCCGTGTTTTGTCAAAACAGTATTTTTACCATTGTTTTGTAAAGATGTGATACTAGTTGTTGAAATCAAGTTGCCAATGTCAGAATACATGTTGTCAGTATTCCTTAACACATTGCCTGTCCTGTTAGCTATGAGGAAAGATCCAAGTATCTGGATACCATCGTGAAAAACCACAAAGACTGCTCCACCTTTGAAGACTACTCGGCCCACGTCTTTGAGCCAGCCCTCGCTCGACAGAAAATTCAAAGTAAGTTGTTTGTTTGTTTGTTTGTTTATATTTTCGTATAAAAAGACATCATGCATTCAGTAAAACAATTACAAATAGAATTATGAATTACAAGATAAAATAAACAGCTGGATAGCCCATATTCAGCGGTATCGTTATGATGCCGCTGGTCTTCCATGGGGACCAGAAAAAAGAATAAAGTTGTCTTCTCATGATGCAGAAAGTTTACAATCTAATGATCTACCTCTTTATATCTTTCTGACTGGATTGAAACTTTAAAGAAATGTTCTAATTTTAATGAATGATCAGTAATGTTGTCTTGTCGACAAAAAATACAAAGTAAGTTGTCTTCTCATGATGCAGAAAGTTTACAATCTAATGATCTATCTCTCTTTCTGACTGGATTGAAACTTTAAAGAAATGTTCCAAATTTGATGAATGATCAGAATGTTGTCTTGAGGCAGTCATACATGTCAATTTTTATCACAAATTTTTTGTTAGATTAAAGAATGCACAATTTGACTTCTGGAAGTATCTCTTCGAAAATGCGTAAATTATGATGGGAAGCATGATTACTATTAAAAATATTAAAAATGGACCTATGGGCCCGAATTCACAAAGGAGGTTTAGATTTAACCCATGGTTTAAACCCTCATTTACATAACCCATGGTTTAAAATAAGCACAAAATAAGCGTGACACATGTCAGAGGTCCAATATTAGACGCATGCAATTTTTAAACTATGGGTTAAATCTAAACCTCCTTTGTGAATTTGGGCCATTGTGTTTATGGCATCCTTCTCAGAAATGTTTACATTGTATGAGTCTTGCTAATTATAATGATATATATCTTAGTTTTTTTTAATGAACAGACAGTTCTTGTCACCAATTGAAGGTTGTAATCAAGATACTCCAGCGCCCTGTACCCCCATATCTTCCTTTCTATAGTGCTCATTACCATTGAGTCAATGATTTCTAGGAATAGAGTCATTATACTGTTGAAAAGTGTAACCAAAAACTCTACCCTCACATGAATCATCTTTTTATTCAGCAACAGTGCTTCAGACATATTGAATGTACTGTTGTAAATGCTTTTATCTTTAACCCATTGCTTCCTGGAACTTATGGCAATGAATGAATTTTGTAGTTAATGGGTTAAAGGTAAAGACCAGTATTGGAAATGCCCCAATTTCAAAAAATGAAATGGAAGCTCTCATTACCAATCATGTTAAAGAATATGTTTTGACTAATACATGATGATACAAAATTTGCCGGGAAACCGCCTACTAATTCATATATTTGGTAAATTTGTTTCTCTCATGGTCTGTGAGAGATATAGGGTAGTCCCATATACATCTTTCTGTGTATAGTGCTTGTAACTTTACGAAGAATGGGCCAAATTTCTTATCATTTTGATGATTTCAGAACCTTGCAGATACTAGATGCTAGATCATCAACCTTTCTGGTTGATTCCACAACGTTTCTTTCACAATGCAATCGCATGACCATAACTGGTCTTTACCTTTAAGAGAGAATTCAGTCACATTCATTTGCTGATCTCCATTACAAAATTTGTTGGTGTACAGATCTTTGTCAACATGTCACTTTCTTTTTAATAGGCCAATATTGTGATATATACTTATCAAGCTATCATTAAAGCTGATCTTTCAATTACCTGTTGAATACATTTCATTGTCATTCATCAATTTAAGTCAAGCTTTTTGTTAAATGGGTTGAACTCTTTAATTCCATTTTCTACTCATTGATTTTAACCCAGTGCTGAGAACAAGTCGTATGCAATAAAGGGAAATATTAGACCTTGGTTTGATTGAACTTAAAATGAAGAACCAGCTTTAACCAAGCTAAGCATCAGGTTTAAATTTTTAGTAAAATATGGCCAATCAGGTCAGATTGCAGTATGAATAATATTTAATAAAACATTACATCTGAAATATTCTTTAAAAATAATTGAATTGTCCTGTATATATAGTACACGTTTACGAATATAACAGATTTAGATGGGTCATAGCACATAGATCCGTGATCGATTCTTACGTGGTACATTGAGTTGTGTGATTATTGAGAAGAAAAAAAACTTGCTGTATGAATAACTTGCCCTTCCTTGCACGCATCAATCAGACACAAGGTATTTCACTAGCCCCGAGTCGTCCGGCAGCGGCCCCGCCCACAGCCTGACCAACGTGGATTCGAAGGGCTCCCTCTTGCCGTCAAAGCTTCAGTTCACGTCAAAGTCCACGGGTAACTCACCATGGCACTCACTTCTTGGTTTGATGTTCACTGTATTTGGTCATATATTGATGGTTTCTATTATATCACTCATTTCTGACTCTCCTTACCTATTAGGCCTTGTGGTACTCCTGGATTCCTCTTACTTTGACTGTGTGTATCTTGCACTTTATATTTATATTACACTTTGGGGGAAGTATGCGACAAAATTGCTATGTATTTAGCTGGCTTTATCTTTCATTGCATTATTCTTCAGCAAAATTTTGAAAATGAATAATTCCATTTGAAAAGTAAATAAATGATGAGAATTCTGAAGAAGTTAAGGCACGATATCAAGGAACTTGAGAAAATTATTTTTGATTTGAATTTGGATGTTGTCAATCAAGAATTCTTGGTCAAAATCAAACATAATTCAGAGAAAAAAAGAGTAAATTTGCTTTTGTTAATTAATGTTTGAAAAAGAATGCTAACCATTTAGTCTTAAACTTTGGTGGAGGTAAAGATGAAGGGGGGAGGTGGCTCTAATAAATATTACATCAACTATATTTCAGCCAGAATGCCTTTAAGTTTGATTTTAAAAGAGGGACTTGGAAATTGACAAGGGTTGTCTTTTGGGTGGAATGTTTTTACTTACTCTAACTCTTTATTTAGTGCATGCTCTATTTCTAAACAAGCTAATTATTTTATTGGTACATTTGTATCTCCAGTTTTATTTTGTTTGATATGTTTGCTCTTTTGTTTGGGTATTTATTGGTAGCAACAGATTTTGATATTGCTGTGGCTTCTGTTAATTTGCTTCTTGTTAGTTAAATAGTTATTTTAATGTTTTTGTTTCTTTTATTTTTGTTGATAATTTGAACAAACATTGTTGCATTGGTAGTACTTGTGTACACAGTCGAATTGTGTTGTATTTATAGTTATTTGCAGCTGTTTTGGGTGTTTGGTGTTAGATATAAAACTTGTTGTTCTTTTGAAAAGTAGTAGGTCCATGCTTATACTTGTAAATTGAACTGGCACTCTCTTATTTATGATACTCTCCAGTATGTGTATTCAACTACCAACAAAACTAAATATAATTTGTATTTCAACAAATTATTGGGATGATACAACATAGAGAAAATACACATATAACAGCTAATGAATGCATTTCTTTTAACTCATTTTTCTCTCTTGACAAGAATGTGTGTATTACTCCCCTTCAAGACACAAATCAGTGGTAACGTTTTTCATGAACGGTACGTTGCTCTCTTAGTCTTAGTCCACCAATCAGAGCTGCTGCATGGAAATTTCATCCAATCAACTGCAGAGAAGAAAATTCCACCCATTCCGCAGTTTCTTCATCTTTTTCCCCATCTTTTTCCCCTTCATTTATCACCTTTTCTCCTTTGTTTATCACCTTTATTTTCATGCATGTTGATCCAGGCGTTGATCTGTGACTTGTCATTAACAGAATTCCAGTAAATGAACCTTTAATCTTGATATTTCTTATCTCAGCCCTGTGAAATCATCACAAAAACATTGGCTTAACAGTTAACTTTACCTTTAAATAACACTGAATTTAATATTCACATTTTTACGAAATGTATTTTTAAATGTATGATTTCTTTTTGATAGTCATTTGACTTATTGGGATGACAGTTCTTTCTGTTTTTTTAAAAAACTTTTAAGGAATCAGTTTTATATATTGACTAACTTGTAAGAAGAATTTCAACTGAATGAATAGTGATAATACCTGAGCTTTTTTTTACCACAAAATATCATTCTAACTTATTTGCCATGCATTATTAAATGAACCAGATGAATTAACAACTGACAGTCAAAGTAACAACTGAACAGTGCTTGAACTTTTCAGCTTTAAATCTTGATATGAATGTTATCAACAGGTTGTGGACAAATCTAAATTGTGGGCACTTCAAGAATTCAAAATATGAGCTTTAATTATATTTTCTCACAATTTTTAATTATATATGGGAAGTAGCAGAAATATAATTTCAAAGTATTTGACTATGAAACCAGTTTCCCTCCCATCAATTTTTCTTCAAATTGTGCAATGGCACTTATCCATATTTTGTTGATATTAAACAAAAGTCACAGTATGGTCTTGTCAGAGAGCACTCATTTTGTTATCGACGAATCCCTTTTATCTTTAAAGATCTAGATCTAGGATTTACTCTGCTCTTTGTCAGTGGCGACACATTGGCGCATCTTATTTGTCCACTGCTACAAGCGAATATGAAAATACTTATATCATAATGAACTCCACATTTTAGTGCAGTCATACCAGCGGCTTGAACAAGCTCGTGCAAATAGGAAAATCATGTTAATTAAACCTGTTTTGGGTGAATGTATGATGATATCATCTTTTCTTTAATGAATGTCTACTGTGATATTAATCATTTGCCTTGCTATTGACGCCATGACAGAATCTCAGTCGCTGTAAATGGTGATATTAGTCGTTAAAGGTTCTTTATGAGAAACGTTCTTTATAATCATGTTCTGTATATTTTCGTATACTTTCTTGTATTTTCTATAGACTCAACTTAAGTGTTACAGAAAGTTAATCACTAAAAATAGCACACTGTTATTGGCTGCGGGGGAAAATCTAGACTTTTTCTTTTAAATATGATATATTTTACATAATGACATTCAGTTCTATGCAATATTTTCTACATCAGTATTCATTAATAATGCATAACAAATTAGCTTCAAGTCTTGCTGCGGCACAATTACATACCCGGTAATCTTGTTTGACTTTAAGTTGATATAGGGACCCAGTTTGTTGCAGAATCTGGGATGCCTGATCTACTCCCTGTGGGTGGTATGCTGCCATGCAATTTAGATCAATGTATTCTCCTAAAAACGGGTATTGAGGGTTAGCTAAGCTCCCAGAAAATAATGAGCTTGATATGTGATCTTTTTGTTGTTACTGGATTTGGGGGCTAAAAATACAAATTGTGTTGACGATTTTATCCCACTGTGTCACAATTTGTTTCATCAAAATACCACGACTATGCATTGTTGGTCCAAAAGAAACCTTATTTTGCTCCTTTTAAGAAATAAAAAATTTAATACATCTTATTTGTCATATTTACCATGTATGAAACCCCATTTTTATTTCTCAGAAAATGGATAAAAAGCAAATACTTCCAAATCCCTTTAGGCATTGCTAGAAAAAGAAGATGAGTTAAGTCCAAATATGTTCTTCATAAATAATGACTAAGGAATTATACTAAATGCAGCTTCCTGGTTGTCCATATTTTTATAGCTGCAGTCATATTCCCCAATCTCGCCTCTTTTGTATACATACTTGTGAGGAAGGGCAGTAAATTGCACAGTACATTTTCCTGATTTGTTTTATATTTGGATATCATCATGCGAAATATTTTTCCTTCTCTTCTTCTGTTCCACTCTATCTCCTTCCTCCCACTCTCTCTCTCTCTCTCTCTCTCTCTCTCTCTCTTAAGTTCTGTTTCTCTCACTCTTTTCTTCTCTCTTTTTCTCCCTTATTATATCTCTACCTAAATTTATAACTAGTATGTATAATATGTGAGGGGGTGAGCACTAATTAAGATCAGCCAGGATGTTTGTAATGCCCTCATCATCACCAAGATAATATCAACGCGTGTCTCCAACGATCAAACAAGCCATAGTGATAACTCCACTCAAGGAGTGGCTACATTTTTTTCATGGAAAAATATGGATTGTGATGAGGCCAACTTATTGATTGTTTTGCCTGTACAGTGAGGCAGTTACTCAACACAACAGCTTGGAAGAGATTAATTGCCTCATTTTGGTGCAAAATTGTTGACAGGTCATTTCCTATCATATACCCGAAGGATTCCTACTATTCTTCTCCATGTCAATCCAATATTTATTGATCGCATGCAGAGATTGGAGTTGTGTGTGGAGGATAAATTGCATGGTCACTGATCAATTATGTATTTAAATGAAGGTGATAAAAATGGGTGGTATATGCTAGAAATTAGATTGATATTCATATACATATAAGACATGTTTGCAAGTTCTTGAGATGCTTTTAGCATTATTTATCAGATTTATTCTTCTTCTTGAGTTTGAGTAATCAATAATTTAGATTGATATCACAAATTGTAATTGAATTCATATTTTTAGGTGACATCGTACATGTTGTAATTGTTATTGCTAGATCTGAATAGCCTTGAACAAGCAAGTAGATGTTGTAAAGAGTAAATTCCAGAAAATAATATTAAGACCCAAAAGGAGTCTGGAAATTACCCATTATTAAAGGCTATACAGTATTGTTCTTTATCCAAGTTTCTTTCAATTGTTTTTACATGCACATGAAATGGAATGTCACCTTTGTTGACATTTTTGCAAGGTGTGACGGACTTGGAATATTGCATGCCTTTATTCCAAGTTCTCCTTTGAACACATGTATTCATACATACTAATCATTACCACACCATCAGTTAATGTATTAATGCAAGAAACATCCACAACTAGCCATTCACATACAGGTTATCAGATATGGTAGTCCATTCAAAAGAAATGTACATGTAGATGAATGTATAAAACAATGCATGATTTACATATCACTCACTTTTTTGGTACAATATTGTGATAACTATAAGAGAGTTGATTTGTATTTCATGGTTATAAATTGTATAATATATTACCTAACTTTGCATGCATGAGCAAAAAAGCCTATTTTTGTTTTTTTGAGGGTGAATATGTGCCAAAATGACTAAATAGGCCTATCTTTGATATTGTAAAAAACATTTGAATATGTATTATTAAATATGAATAATAAATAACAATCACTATTTAATCCAAACCTCAACAGAAATGCTTGATCACATTGCCTTGACAAAGAATAACATCAAACCATTGAATTTTCATTTTACAAATGACAATAATCACTACTTCTTTGGGTCTAAACTTTATGATTAACCATAAAAATTCTCATCTTCTAAACTTTTTTCTTTCTAACCTGTACCTCTCAGTATTTTGACATGGCTTTTTATATCTTGTTCCTAATTAAATTATTTGAATTAAAAAAGTATCCACGATTGTTCAGGAGATTTATCATATAAATTTCTATTGATATATTATTTACATGTAATAATTTTGTATAAATCTATCCCTTTAAATGTTTACATTCAAAAGATTTGGTAAGTATGTATTATTAAATTGTCATATTATAAGGCATGAGACATGTATTCCCTCACCATGAAAATAAATGTACAAATATGATGAAAGAAGAACAGTTATATGGTGCGGTGCGTATCCGAATAACTCCCTCATTAGACAAATATCCTCCCCCAGACAATTACCCCAAGTACCAAGGACAATTGATTGTACTATAATCTATATGGCAAATGATCTAAGTTACAAAAAAGTATTTGCAATATCTAAATTAATTCCATTTCTTTTTCTTCTTTCCTTTGTCTTTTGCCTTCACCCTATCCTCTGTCTTTCCTACCACTACTGTTCAATCCTCACCCACCTCCTACCATTCTTTGATCCTCCACCCACCCACCCACCCCCCACCCCATAGAGAAGCCTGGGGTGTCGCCCTCCAGCAGTGTGACCCGCCCCAATCGCTTCTCCCAGCCTGAGAGACTCCTGGCCAGCATGACCCAGGGCCAGCCTGCCCTGTCTCTCTCCTCCTCCCTCAACGCCTCGGTCAAGCTCACCGGCAGCCAAGGGAGCGGTGAGAGGCACTCTCCAAGACTTGGTGGACGCAAGGAAGGCAGAGGTGAGCTGTAGTTTACGTGTAACACGATCGCAAACAATCAAAAACATTTCTGAAAAATCAACTGAACTCGATACTCTATGGCATATCCCTTAGAAATCATAATAATAATAATAATAAATAACATTTATTAGGCGCTTAATACTGATGTTTCTAAGCGCACAGTGTTCTGATTAAGAGAAGACTATAACCCGTAGAATTAAATTAGAAGAAAAAGCAAAAATACAAAAGTAACATAGATAAGGTAAGAAAAACAGTGGCAATCAACTAAATAAAGACAAATATGGTGCGCACCTCCATTGACCGACGCACAACTGCAATTTACAATTTGAAAAGATAGGTTTTGAGTAGAGATTTGAATTGAGATACAGAGGGGGCGCAGTAAATAAAGGCGGGCAGTTTGTTCCAGAGAGCGGGGGCAATAACTGAAAAGGCGCGGTCACCATACCGGGTGTTAGTGCGGGGTCCAGGTGTTAACAGTAATGTGGAAGATGAACGAAGTGTTCGTGACGACGTACGGGAACGTAAGGATATGAGATCGGAAAGGTAAGAGGGGGCTAAGCCATTGATAGCTTTGTAGCACAGGAGAAGAATTTTAAATCATGTTAGGATATCAAACAATATGCATAACCAGCATAATATTGTCTCATAAATAGCATATTTTTTTGTCTCATACATAGTAATTAGAGAACTTGAACCAGAAATCATGTCATGGAATAATGAGACATGATCAGAAATTAAAAATACAATGAATTTTCTTGTTAGCTCATGTATGTAGAGTGTTATGGAATATACAGACAGCAACCCAAGTGACTGTTGAAATGCTTTAACAGAAAAATACCAGCACATTTCCAAGTAATGGTAGCTGGTATCATATCCTTGTATTTGCTATCAAGGATAAACTTCTTTTTTTCAAGTGGATACTCTACAATACTGAACAAAAATCTACCATGTATTCTTGAAATCACTTAACTTTTTGATTGATTAAATTTGGGTCTTATTTCTTTTAAAGGAAAATTATATGGCATAAAATCTCACCTTCTCTGTACAGAATTTTTCAATACTGTCAACCATTCATTTATGGGAGGATTGTTTCCTATTTTCTTGCCTTCCTGCTAATGTTTTTAGGATCTGTAGGTTCCTCTACTTTCTGGAAACTCCCTATGTACAAGCAAATTAGTTCTTATTTATTCCCAATCTCGCCTCAAGAGATTCCTAATATTTGGTGTGGAAGTTCAGCAGGTATCCTCCTCAGTCATTGTTCTTAAAGCCCCACTGTACTACTTGTAGCTACTTGCTCCCTCTATATAGAAAACAATGCCTTATCAGTGCCTGTTGGTCCCCTATGATCCTCTTTTTCTTATGTTAATTGAGAGCTGAGTTGATGCCACCTGTCAGTGACCTTGCTGTGTGGTCTAATCCCCCCTAGCCAAACTAGTTCAGATGGCCTTTAAATAAAAATTATTGGGTGTTGTCTTTTTTTGACAGGTGATGAGAAGACGCCCTCTAGTGAGGTCCAAGGGATCAGCACCCAGACTGATCTTACGGCATCATCCAGCACCACTTCTACTGCTTCCAACTCCAGCAGCATCAACCCTGGCAGACCTCGAAGCCGTACCAAGAGGCAGTCATCATCAGGGTCGGCTACCTCAGAGACTACTCCTCCAGAGAGTCCAGAAAACAGCAAAAAATGAGGCACCCAGAAAGATCTGAGAGCATCGTCTAACACTATTTCACCTTCTTACACCACTGGCACCAATCCCAGCAGAGGTTGTAGCCATACCAAGAGACAGTCATCATCAGGGTTGGCCACTTCAGAGACCACTCCACCAGAGAGTCCAGATAATAACAAAAATTGAGGCACCCAGACTGATCTGACACCATCGTAACACTACTTCACCTTCTTACACCACTGGCACCAGTTCCAGCAGAGGTTGTAGCCATACCAAGAGGCAGTGATCATCAGGGTCGGCTACCTCAGTGACCACTCCACTAGAGAGTCCAGATAACAAGAAATGAGACATCCTGACAGATCTGACAGCATCATCTAGCACTTTACTCCTTCCACCATCTCTGGTATCAACTGTAGCAGACATTGTAGCCATACCAAGAGACAATCGTCAATAGGGTTGGCCACTTCTGAGATAACCCCTCCAGAGAATCCAGAGAACAACAAGAAATGAGGCACCTAGACAGTTCTACCTTTGTCAGCCTGCATTATTTCACCCTCTTCCTTCTCTGGCATCAATCCTGCAGATCTTTGGCACAGCAGAGACCACTGCGGTCCAGAGAGGAAATTAGGCACTTTGTGACATGAGTATACCAACAAAAAGGAGTGTCAAGTCTTTGTGAGTGATCAAGGACTGTTGCTGGATTTGTGAAAATGCCAAATGATAATCTGTAGCCTCTCTTACAGAAAAGCACCGGTACTCAAGCAAGGGGGTATATTGATGGAGAGCTAGCTCCAGGGGGAAACAAATGTCAGATGCTGCATGAGGTCTCAGCTTGGTTGAAAGATCTTATCACAGTAGCTACACCTTAGTCACCTCACACAGTTCCTTGCTGATATAAGACAGTCACATACATTTAGACACATCGATAGAGCTTTGTCCAGGTGATGGCATGCGAGCATCATCTCTAGGAACAGACAACTAGAATGTACAAAGACAGAAGTGAACAAAGATATTCTTACTACAGTCAAACCTGCTTTAGTGACTACCTGTCTAAAAAGGCCACATCTGTTGTTTCCATTGAAAATGGTTTCTCATTGAATCATGTACTAAAGGAACCTGTCTACAAAGGCCACTTTTTGTGTTTCCCTTGGGTGGTCACTATAAACAGGTTTGACTATATCACTTCTTGCATCAAAACCTGAATATGTTGATAAGAACATATGTTCTAAACGGGATTCCATAGAACATGGTGAACAAGATTGCGGAATAAGGTGTCCAGTGAAGATACAGATTACAAGAGAGATATCAAAGCAATTTTTTTACAAAATATAGAATTACAAACCAAAGCCATTTCAGCCAGCTCATTTTATAAAAGTGGGGTTTTTCTTTCATGTCAAAAGAAACACAAAGTGAATTATCCACTCCAGTATTCCTTTCATCTTTGGAATAACCCAAGAGACGATTGATTACCCTTCGTATCTCAGACCAGGGCCCCGTCTTACAAAGAGTTGATATCAATCGTAACTTAATTGCGATTGATATCAATCGTAACTATGTACATAAGAGATAGGAGACTGCAGACTTGCGATTGATTGGAGGACTTACGATTGATTTGGATCGATCGTAACTCTTTGTAAGACGGGGCCCAGGTTTCTCAGTAGGGGAAAGGAGACACGTCCACTATCACAGGACTCACCAGGGACTGCACCCTGCATTCATCTTGTACCCTGTTTTGAATCAGGATGACTTCTAGTTCTGTTTGATTCCAGCCTCAACACTGCTGCACTTTAATACCTCACATTAAATTTCAAAGGATCTATCGATGAGATATCACTGCCAAATAAATATAAAATATAATTTCACTGGGATAGTTCCCTTGCCAGATGAAGGACAAGCAGGATCCTGTAAAAGCCAGTCAAACCAGATCATGTTCCTCATTACCGTATAAAATTACGTATTCTAATCATTCACAGTTACACAAAGTATTTGAATTTTAAGAAATATAATGAAAAAGACAGCAAATACACTAAGTGCTGAATTTTTACACTGTAAAATTACAGTGCATCCTTGTTGCAAATGTCAAAAGTAATGTTTATTGTAGTCAAACATCAAGGCCTAAAAAAATATTCTATATTCACTACTACTCTTCTAACTGGTCTACTAATCTTGCCTTTACTTACTACTTGCAGCATGAAAAGCAAGAGAATTACACTCTCTTTCAAACCCAGAGAGAAAAACTAACAAGTGAACGTCAACTTGATTTGGATCACTTGGAAAAGAGAGCACATTAAAAGCAACGATGTTCTCTCTTTTACATGGAAAAAAGGATGTTTTGTGATGTGTGATTGGAAAATAAATGGTTGATCTTAGAGCTGGCTCAGTCTTACATGAATACCGGTGAATGTACATTAGACATACCATAATCACATATCAAATACATGTACCTGTATGGGAACACATGTATGCATTAATATGCATTTGTAATATATATATTTACACTGTGGACTTGTTATTTATTCCTACGTGCCTATACTGCATGTGCAAGTCCACTTTTGAAAGTGCAATATTATGAGTTAAGATGTGTTGTTTTGGACATCGTATTTTTTGTTTCTCTGTTGTATGATGTGTGCTAATTTATTTTGTTGTCATTCATATCAGTAACTGTCATTTAGACCTTGATAGATGTCACAATGGATGTTGCTGGAAGAATGGAAATGATAGTGCCAGGACTTTCATTTCCCAAACAAGACAACATTTACACTTACCTATTTTGTCCAACAAAAAAATTCTTTGTTTGCCCCTGCTAGCTAATGTCACATTAATTTTTGAAGAAATGCTAAATATGTCTCTACAAGACATAGCTGGATAGAGAAATCAATTGTTCAAGTCTGGGAAAATTGAGAGGGGGTATAGTCTGAAGAAAACTGTATAAATCCAATGAAATCGACTTAATTTTCATGAGCATGATTTTCGTGTTGCTCTGACTGTTGTCGACTGCCACCAGCTTAAGGATCATGATTTCATTTTACATTTATGACTAATCTCTATTTTCTTTGAAACATTTATGCAAACACTTGAAAAAAAATACCTGCTCGACAGCAATTTAAAAACCTTATTGTATTGCTAATTGAAACTGTGTTAAGTCTATTCAATAAAGGTTTTTGTAATAATAACACAGTACAATAGGCAATGCACTATGCTGTGGCACAGTGCTACAGTGAGTTTAGATTTATCTATAAGTTGTTGTTAGATTAATGAATCTTTCTTTCTCAGTATAATTTTTTTTCTTCCCTTCTCAAGAGACCAACCGGTTCTGCGCCATTCCATTGGCACATTGACGATTATTATGTTATTTGTATATGCTACTCGGCTTAATAGAACAATTGTTTTCCTTTTAGCTTTGTACGATCGATTCAATATTATTTTAATAGAAACAATTAATTATCTGTTGTGGCATCCTGTATTCATGTCAAAACTGTCATTAACATTTCCATTCAATAAATTAAATGGAATCTCATAGAATTACTGATACATTTGTAGCAAAGGTGATTGGATTGTCTAATGCCATTAAATACATGATTTCAGTTGCCTATTTCTAAAGAGCAACCCAATCTGCAATTATTTATGGGCCATTTACTACAAATGGTAATGATTTCATTTATCATTTCTCCTTTTGTGCTAAAACAAACCTTTATGACCAAAGATTGCTTAATCTCCCATTTCCATTTTTATTTTTTTGTGTTTTCACCATCACATCAGAGAATACATTACCAGTAATAAACTTAATTGGACCAACTTTCAGATTATTGATTTGTTTTTAATGGATTATTCAGCCTGGGAAAAGCAATGACCATGGCTTTGATATGAAAATGTCAACGCTTAAGTAATATAAATTTACCTTGATTTATGACACAAACTGTATAGCACTCGGCCTTATTTTATTGGCAAAAGGTTTTAGTTATTTTCACTTCTGTGTGTGTATGTGTCATCTCAAATGAAAGTCTATTGTGCAACTTATTTTGACAACCTGTATTAAATTTCAAGTGATTTTTTTTAAAAGATTACTGAAAGATGAAACGTCCTCCAAATTTAGTTAACATCTCTCAAATTTACAGCCTCATATAAGTTGTACTTTTATCAGTGAGCCAGCCATTGAGTCCCCTTATTTTTCATCTCGGGGTTGTGCCACAGTCTTTGAATTGAAGACATTGTGAGATACACATGCTAATGTTAATCCATGGGCTATGCAAGAGCCTATTGAAGAGTATAGAAAATAAATGTATATTGATATGAAAATATAAATGATGTCACCTCATATCATTTTGATATTATTTTGTATCTCCACTTTTCCCCCAACATTTTTGTTTAGCCACGTATTGCTGATGAAAGCTTCAAAAATCCAATCTTTATTCTTTCAAAGTAAGAGCCTCAAACTATCAGTTAAGGAAATTCCTGACTATGAATTTGTTTTTGAGAAACATGATTTAGAAAGTGCTGCCTAGCCTTTAATAATATATTTGAATCAGATTGATAATTTCATTGGCTTGATTCTTTTCAAATTCAGATGTAAGTGGGCTGCCCACTTCCGGGGCACTTTAGAAAAGGTGAATTTGATTTCAGAACGCGGTTGTTTCTTTTGTGTTTGCAAGGGAGCAATGTGATTGGCACTTGTTAAAATTAAATGGCTCTTTAGCAGTAGCAGAAAACATCAATTAAATTAAAGAGCATTATCTCAGAGAATAACATCTCCCTGTGCTCAAATACACTCAAACCTGTTTAAGGGCCACCTGTATAGGGTGACCACATTTATTGTGTGGTCGCCTCTGATTATTATGTTCCACAGAGAAAAGCTGCCTATATGTGCTAAACGCTTTTATTTTATCTGGAAGAAACGGCATGAGATAATAATTTCATCCACCCAATTGATAACCAAAAGTGGGTATGCATTTTCATTCCGCCATTTTAGGGAGACTCTTTTGTGAGGCATAATGTTTCACTGCACTTCCTAGAAGACGAAAAAATACCTCCAAAGTGCGCCTAGTTTAACTGATGCTCTTCTCTCGCTCTTGCTCTTATTGGATATCCTCATAAAGATCGGAGGCAAAAAGTCGAGGATTGTTGCTAAAGTGGTGCATTTAAGGTGAAGAGAAAAGGTCGGCGAGGACAGAATTAGGAATCGGCACCTCTGTCGGGCAAGCAGATGTTAATCTTTCTATACCACCGGAAACTCTTTCTTTCTCATTCCTTACAAATTGACCCCTTTCTCCCCTCCATCGTTTCCTCTCGGCCACGTCCATTTTTGTCGACTCTTGCCGGGTCTGTCCCCCTTCCCCCCAATTTCATCTACGATGTGGTGTGCAACTCCCATTCTTGAATTTAATCCATATATGTTGCTTGCCGCCACGCACAATTTCGACTCGACTGATGGGCGCTTGAAAATGATATGCGACGCAGCAATTTAGAAATGCTTTCAAATGCGATTACACACGCTCACACACATATCACTTTTTGCTTCTCTTTCATATAATCAATTAACCTAATCCAGAGTTGATTTATTATTCTTGACCACCTTCGTATAAATCTAGACTCTTTTAGCTCTCTAAAGCCTAAAGCATACCCGCTCTCATAAACGAGTTCACACTGCGGTAGATATTCTCTACAGTGTGAACTACCCTTGTGTTTTTGCTTGGAATGGAGGAATTTATGAGACATAGGTAATATTTAATTTGTGAAATTATTGGCGGAATGGTGTCAAGTTGTATAGAGATTGTGCAGGAAAGGGGAAGAGCAGGTGGGTGTTATGGGATGCAGAAAGTAGTTTTCGTTGGCGCGAATTTTACCGGCTTCTAATAGATATCCCAGGGACCGGTTATGAATGAAGCCGGCATCTATTATTCAAAGTTAACTTAAAGTACACATTCGTATAGTTGAGATAAAGGGTTTCTTCCATATTAAGTGAGAAAAAAATTAGCATTTTTGATAGTGCATTCCCCTCTAGCCTTTGATTATCTGTACCTGAATCTTTAATTTAATGAAACGCGTGATACAGAATTTTGATCAATTAATCAGTCACATAAAATTAAACAAAGTTATGACATGTTATACATTCCTATGCAAGAATTGCCATCTTACATGTACGTATCTTTTTATAAATTGTTTTAATGCTGGAAACCTGCTTGCTGGGAAAGATTGTTTTCAATAAACTTATTTGGGAGTTGTGACATGTACACGTAGTATGTTTGTTTCGTTATTAAGTTGTCAGGATACAATACCTCTTGATTGTCACTTCGTGTTAGTGTGTGTACAATGTGTCGATGAAGACACAAAATGTGTGCCAATATGATTGATATATGTGTATTCAATAAGGTAACTACATGTTAAGTCTCGACCTAGATTTGGCAATGATTATATTATGTTCAAATGCTGGAAAAATTAATCTGACTTGTGTCCTATTGATTAGGAAGAAAGTGAAATCGGTAAAGGA